TGCTACGCGCGGTCTGGTCCATGGTGTTAGCAACGTTACGGCTGCAGCTGCTGCTTCTGTTTCTTCTGGCTTTGCTCCCCGTCCTGCTGCTGCTGCTGCTGCTTCTGCTGCTGCTGCTGCTGCCTTCGCCGGCAGGGAGGGGGGCCCAGAGCCGCGCTGCAGCGGCAGAGGCGAATCCCCTTGTTGCTGCTGCTGCCTGAAGAAGAAATTGCAGTTCGTGAAGTAGCCAGGGCTTTTCCGGCTGAGACAGCGGTCCCTGCTGCTGCCGCTGCTGCTGCCGCCGCTGCTGCTGCTGCTGCTGCTGCTGCTGCATGCGTGCTGTAGGTAGTGGCTGTGTGTTTATCACACCTGCGCACAAGTTGTTTTGTATTTTTGACCCTGTACACGTATTGCAGCTGTCGTTTTATTGTTTTCTGCTGCTTGTCTCCGCCTGGCAAGCGAACAGCGGCGCCTGTTGCTGCTGCTCCAGCTCGACGCTGCCGCCGCTGCTGCTGCTGCTGCTGCTGTTGCTGCTGCTGCAGTTGAGTGTATGCACACCTCGGAGCGTTCAAATCAGAAGCCGCGGATGCACCATGCGCCTTGCACCTCCAAACCCGTGCCTGAGCAAAGCCACGGCAAATCCTACGTACGCACTGCAGCAGCAGCAGCAGCTGCAGCAGCAGCAGCTGCTGTCGGCTCAGCATTGCAGCAAAAGCTGCGGCTGCTAGCTTTCCCTCCTGTATTTGAGTCGCTTCTTTGGGCGCGGATCGTTACCGCCCTTTCCTCTGCTGCACTGCAGCTGCCGCCGATTTAGCAGCAGCAGCAGCTAGCACAGCTGCAGGAGCTGGTGGAGCTGCCGCTGAGGCTGCTGTATACTCTACTATTTCAGCAGCTGCAGAAATCGCAGCAAAACCCTGCCGCATATCGCTGGCTGCACTGTCCCAAGTAGAAGCAGGGGCGGCAGCAGCAGCAGCAGCAACAGCAGCAACAGCAGCAGCAGCAGCAGCAGTTGCAGCAGCCATGTGGCAGCCACATTTGCTTTAATAAGGCGACAACACGCCAAGCACTGCGCATTGGTCTGCGTACACTTGAGCGAGGACCGATGGCAGCGCCAGCTAGAGCAGCAGCAGCTGCTGCTGCTGCTGCAGGCGCTTCTGCGGCTGCTGCTGCAGCTGTCACACAGGGGCATCGGAGCCCTCCGCCTCCGCCCCCTGTGCTGCTCTGTAGCATCGAGGATTCTCATCAGCAGCTGCAGCAGCGGGAAGCAGCAGAAGCTGCTGCCTCTTGCCCCTTTCTTGTTGCGCAGTTGTCAAGGGCAGCAGCAGCAGCAACGACAGCAGCAGCAGCAGCAACGACAGCAGCAGCAGCAGCAAGAACAGCATCTGCAACAAACGATACAACAACTTCCCGTGGAGATGTCGGCGATCCCCCAGGAGCTTCAGCCCTCTGGCATCGTCACAGCAGCAACCGCAGCACCACCAGCAGCAACGACTGCAGCAGCAACAGCAGCAGCTGCAGCAGCAGCAGGAGCAGCAGCAGGGGCTGTAGCAAGAATAGCAGCAGTGAAAAATGTAGCGGACGCACACGGGAGCAGCTTCGCATGCATATGATTCGGTTGGGGGCATTTGCTGCTGGGGCTGTGGTTGGTTTGCTGCTGCTGCTGTTGGAGCGGCAGCAGCAGGAGCAGCTGCAGCAAGAGCAGCATTTCCTGCAGCAGCAAGAGCTTCTGCAGCAGCTGCAGCAGCAAGATGACAACCGCATTATATGGAAGAACGTCACACGGGGGTTCTGGCTAGTTGTGTTCGCTGGCGTGATGATACACAAGCAACCAGACAGCAGCAGCAGCAGCAGCAGCAGCAGCAGCAGCAGCAACAGCAGCAGGAGCAGCAGCAGCAAGAGGTCATCAACAGTAGATATGTGCTACCAGTGCATCGCATTGTCTGTAGCAGGCTGCTGCTTGACATTTTTCCCGCTGCTGCTGCTGCAGTGCCGCGTTTCGTGTGCAGCAGCAGCAGAGGCGCTGTTCATTTTGCTGCTGCTGCTGCATCACAGCTCTGAATATCTCTTTGTA